CTAAAAGTGATTGAGAGTTTGACGATTTTTCTTTTCAGTTCAGTACATTTTTGCTTTATGACATATATTTTGCAGCTATGCTCTTAGCTGCACACAAATTTTTGAGCAATAATATATGTTTGAATTTACACTATGATCATTATGAAATATCTTATTTTTGTCATATTTTTTGCCTTTGATTTATAGTTATTTTAGCTTTCTTCTGGTTTTTCACATGAGATCTCTTTTTCCCTCTTTTTTTACTTTAGGCTTATGGTGTACTTTTTACAAACAGCAAATAGTTTGGATTTTTGGAAATCCAGTTCAATAAAAAAAATCCAGTTCAATAGTTCTTATTTATTTTGTGTATTTAATCTACTACAGTTAGTATAATTATTGCTTTGTTTGGATTTAAATCTATTGGAATATTAATTGTTTTTCATTTGTCTCGTATGATCTTTTCTTCTTTTATTTTGGATTAATCAGAAGCTTTTAGATTCAATTTCCCACTCCTATTTATTAATGATTGTATATATAACATATCATATATAATTATATATAGTTTAATGCTGCTGCTGATGATGATTACTTTTATGATTATCCAAAATATTATAATGTGAAATTAGTTTTCTTGTTTTCTCCTAGACAGCCTATGGGCTTTTGGCATCTTCCAACTTCTGTGCTATCACTGTCCTCCTGTATTTTAATTTTATATATATTTTAAGCCCAGAGAGATTATAATTATGGTTTTAAGTGATCAGTGTTAATTTGGATTTGCACACATGTTTTCTATTGAAGGAGGCCTTCATTTCTATTGTCTTTCTGTATTACCGAGTTCCCACTCGGGACATGGCTTCTTCTGCCAAAAGAATTCCATTTCTAAGAGTGTGGCTGCTGAAGAGGGATTCTCTCAAGTTTGCTTTGTCTGAAAACACTTCACTTTTGCTTTCATTTTTAAAGGACATTTCTGCAGGACATAGATTACAAGTTGGGAGTTAATATTATCTTTCATTACTTAATGATATCATCCCACTGTCTTCTGCCTTCCATTGTTTCTATTGAAAGTCACTTGCCAGCCATCTTGTAATAATAACTTACGTTTTCTAGCTTCTTATAATATAAGCATAAGTCATTTACTTCTAACTTTTCTTCTCTTCTGATATAAGGATTTCAAGTCATCCATTTTCCTTCTAAGCACTGCTTTAGCTGCATCCTACAAAGTGTGATATTTTTATGCTTTCATTTTATCCAAATTGTTTTTTTTGTTGTTTTTTTCTTTTGGTACCGGGAATTGAACTCAGTCATTGCGCTTGCGCAGCAGGCGGCAAAACCACTGAGCTAAATCCCAGGCCCTGTGCTTCCTTTTGAATAGTTCCCATTGCTATTATTTAATTTTACTGATTATTTTCATTTTCAATGTTTAATCTGCTGTTAACATGATCTAGTGAAATTTTCGTTTCAATTTTGTATTCTCATTTTGATAGGCTTTAATTACTTGTTTCTTATATCTTCTACTTGTATATTCACTAAATCCTGTGCTGTCTTAACTAATTAGCTAATTATTTTAATGGGTAAAATTTGTTATATTTATCTTGCAGAGTATGATGTTTTGCAATGTACCTACTATGGACTGACTCAATAGAACTAATTAACATATGAATTCCCTCACATACTTATATTTTGTGATATCTATTCACTTAGCAATTTTCAAGAATACAAAACATTTTTATAAGACCTCATTGAGATTATTCTTTACATTTAATTGAAATTTTAAATTCTTTGACCAACATCCCTCCATCCCCCACTCCTAGTCCTGCCAACCACCATTTTACTCTGCTTCTATGATTTCATTTTTAAGATAATTTGTTAATATATAGAAATGCTACTGATTTGTGTATGTAAATTTTGTATATTACAACTTTCCTAAATTCATTTATTAGTTCTAACAGGTTTTGGGTAGAGTTCCTTTTAAACTCTTGACCACATTTATAATAACTGTTTTTAAATCCTTGTCTGCTAATTGTATTATCTGTCACTTCTGGGTCTGCTTTTATTGCCTGGTTTTTTTCTTGATTATAAGACATTCCCTGCTGCTTTAAACACCTAGTAAATATATACCAGCTTCTAGACCAGCATTGTATTATGTCTAGATTTTGTTTCTGTATTGAAAGAATGTTAAATAGAAAGTAAAGGACATGCAGCAGGCAGTAAAGTAACTGCTAGTATTCAAGGCTGGTGTTCGTTCTTTCTTTTCCTTTTTATTTTGGTACTGAGGATTGAACCCAGGGCCTTTGCAATAAGCTACATCCCCAGCCCAATTTTTTTCTTGTAGTTTTGTTTTGAAACACGGTCTCACTAAGTCACTAAATTGCCCAGGCTAAGCTTGAATTTGCAATCCTCCTGCATCATCCTCCCAGAGTGCTGGGATTACCAGTTTTCACCACCATACCTGGCTTAATGTTTGTTTTTAAGCTTTGTTTAGATGTATTCATAATAACCTTTAAGGCTAATTTATTCCTGTCAATAAAATGTGACTCTTCTGTGGTTGCTAATGGCTCAACTGTCTGTTATACCTTGGCTAGTTAGATTTAAACACCTCCCAATCCTGTGAAAACATTTGAGATTATTTAGCCTACCTCTTCCCAATAGTTCCGTGCCCATCCTCATGGAATTTATCTCTATGCATCTTCAGGGTACTATTAAGCAATAAATGCAGAAGGACTTCTATGATCACTTCTGAAGTTCTTTTCTTGCCTAGCTCCTCTCTCCCATGCTCTGCCCTACACATTCCATGCACCTTAGCTTGCCTAAATTCTGATCTCTCTTTTCAACTCAGTAAACCTGCTATCCTTGAGTTAGAGTCTTCCTACACACCCTGCGATCTGGAGAGGGCCTACAGGCAGAAAGCCACTGTGATTGTAGGGATTTCCTCATTGGCTTCTGTTCTTGCCTTTAATACAGTCCTCCATTGTGTATTGTCTCATGTCTAGAAAAAGATGCCTCGCATATTTTCTCCTGATTTCCAGTGCTTTGTGGCAGGAGATCAATACCTGAATCAATCAGTCTAACACAGCCTGAGTGGAGCAATCAGCAAAGTTCTTAAAACTTTGCAAATGAAAAGTGAACTCTAGAATGATTGGTGGAGGAGGAAAAGGGGGAGAGACTCAGAGGCAACTGTGTAACTTGCTTCTTGCCATCAATTTTTAAAATGTTATATTTGAATGTATTTTCTCCTTGACTTCAAAATGAAATTTAATGGAAATGTGTATTTTTTGAAAGTTAGAAAAAGTTACAATTTTCAGTCTATACTTTTTCCGTGATTGAAGGTTAATTAGGCAATTTTGCTAATATTGTAGAATATTGCCCATTGGGATTGATGGTGTTGATGCCTATGATATTCACCTCAGCACCTCCAATCAGTACCCCCAAGTATACCAGCTGCTGTGTTAGGGGCTTTACTTTGCTTTTCCTTACTCTCCCAAAACAGTTCTCTAAGTTAGAAATCATGATCGAGAGAAATTCAAAGTTAGTTCCTCAAGCCCACTCACTAAGAAGTAAATACTCAGTGACTGAAGCATTCTGTGGTTATTTAATGTCTAGGCTGGGAAACAATCTCTGCTCACCACTAAACAATGCCTCCTTCCCATTATTATGCTGCTTTCTGATTCTATCTTTACCTGAGCCTTCCCATCTGGCAAATTAAAGTGGAAAACACTGAACTCCCTCCCTAGGGAGGCTGTATTATTATATACATGTTTTGCATTATTTTGGTTTGAATAATAGCATATGTAAATGTGCTCCTGGAGGTTAAAATTACCCTTATTTTATAAATCTTGGCCTCTCCCACTGGGGTGAATAGTTGAAAATTATGGGGAAGAGAAGGCAAGCTGGAGAGAATGTTAGCTGACTTTGGAACTGTGCTCCTCCTTCCCCACCCAATACATACTTCTATTCAGACACAAGCTGCCACCGCAGAATGAAGCTGAGTAAGTTTCTCATCATGGAGTCCTAGCTTGTGCTGATATTCAGTGTCCAGAATGGGTTTTGATCGAGATATTAATCACCAACTCTGCATCAGGTAGATGCATAGGGGCAGATGTTCTTGCTGAGAAAAATGAAAGCCCCCCAGGGGCACCTGAAAGCCCTTATCACACCTGGGCCCCAGCCAGATCAAAGAGATTCTGGTTTACACGGCAAGTCGCCGCCCCTAGCCGCCTCACTCTCATTCAGAGGCTGGCATGGCCCTCGACCTCAGCTCTCCCTCGGGCCCGGCACTGTTGAGCCATCCCTATCTTAAACTGCCTTTCCTGGCACTTGAATCATCACTTTGATGATGTGATAATATCTGCAAGTTGGGAAAATAAAAGTGGCATTTGTTTAGCCATAATTAATGAAATATTTATGTTGCATGAGACGATGTGATAAAACCTTAGACTTAGAGTCCTTTTGCTTCTGATTACATTTGGGATTTTTTTTTCTATGACCAGACATTCTGACGCCAGCTCTTTTACACTGAGCAGATGTCATGTAGTAAAAATGGGTGCCAGATGCTGTGAGCCGCAGAAGGGCGATTTAAGAGCTGGCTCTCAGTTTTGTGTGTGTGTGTGTGTGTGTTTTGCATTCAATTACTCTGCAGAACAAACCTTACACAAGCATTTAGGTAACTCAGCTAACTTTAGATATGCATTTTAATAATAGATTTCATCTCTGAATGCATTGTAAACAACACACCACATATCATATAAATGATGTTTAAGGAATTAATTGATTTCTGCATAATATTTTTTTTTTAATGTGAGAAGAGAGCTGCAAAACTCTTGGCAGGGATCCAGAAGTGTAATTAACATGGAGGGCCAAATTTTGCAGTTGCCCTTAGGTACTGCCTCCCCCAGCTCCTGGCAGGTGCAAGGAGGGAGGGCAGGGGGGAGCGCGGTGAGCCAGGAGGGAACAGAACGGACAGCTTTAGGGATGAAGCAGGGAAGATGCTAGCAGTTCAGTGAGCTCTTCTATTCTCATTTCAGGCTCCAGGCACCACCGTGTTGGAGTGCAGGTGACAGAGGCTACCTCTTCTCTCTCTTCTATCACCTCCTCGTCTGCAGATGAAGAATTTGATCCCCAGCTTTCCCCGGGGTCACAGGTAACATCACTTGGAAAACCCGACAAGGCATCGGCCCATGGGGCCATTTACCATCCAGATTTCAGACCCAATGTGGGCTCCAGCTGCAGAGGTTTCACCAGGAAGATCTCACTTTATTGCATCTGACAGCACTTCTTCTTTTTACCTGGAACCCCCCAAGAATTGTCTCCTTCAAAACATTTTCCCAGAGACTCAAATTGGGGAAGAGAAACAACAAAAAAACACATATTTACTTGAAACCATTTGGTGACTGCAGCTCTTAAAGTGGGTTTAATATGTGGTCCAACAAGAAAACCATTGAAAAATTACAACAAGCAGATGCATATATCCCTAAGGGAGGCACAGCATCATTTAAGAAGCACTCGAGGCAGATTGCATGGAAAATGTTATGTTTATTCCAATCAGGACTATGAAATGAACCATGCAGTTGCATCTAGATATGGGCACCCCAGGATCCTACTGGGGAAGGGACTTAGCTATGTGCCCACTGGGGAGGCTGTGGCACTCTTTGCTTGGTGAACATTAATATTTCAAGAGAACACTCTAAACAACTCTCAATCCCACAGATCAAAAGCACAAACATATGCATATGTCTATAGCTATGTCTGTATGTCACATACATAGAGACAAGTGTCCATGACAAGAGCTCGCTGATACTTTATCCACTGGGGCTGGAGCTTTCTACTGGGACTGGGGGTGGGGTGCTAAATGGGTGGACCTAAAATGCTTTGCAGTGGACAGAGAAGTGGTTCACTGCTCTGGCAATGTTTATTTTTTGGAAGAGTGAGGAGGATGGGGGGGCAAATTTATTTACTCAGACTCAACTTTTCCATATCTGGCATTAGGAGCTTTGGCATCACCTCAAATCACTCAGGGGTTCCAACTCCCCATGGCCCAGCATGGAGCACAGGAGGAAACTGGGATGAGAGAGAGAGAGGAGCTGGGAAAGAGAGAGAGGGAGATGGAGAGAGAACAAATCTGAATTTCTCATTTCTAAATGCGGGCTTCTTTGATTAGTTCAATACGCAACACAAATGGAGGATGTGTTGTGTGGATTTCTGGGGTTCCTTACTCCTTGGTTCTCCTTGAGTGACCCTAAATTAATTCTGTATTCTGTATTCAAATGAGACACAGATCCGAGCATCTGCCATCCTGATACTCATGGAGAATAAAAGAATGGAAGACTCTAGGCCCAGCCTTACAAATAGCTCCTTGTCTTCCTGCTGGCCCAGCGTGGAGTTAGTTGTCACCGAAGCTTGCCATGTGGCGAGAGCACGCCTGCTTTGCCTGGCTTCTGACATGTCCAGATCTTACAGGAATGGAAGCTGGCAAGCACATGCCTTATTTATAACTTCCCAAGGGCTCACACTGAAAGAACGAGGGGAGGTTTCTGTCCTGTGGTCTGTCTGTCTCTTCTGTTCCAGACAGGTGTGTCCCCAGCCAGGTGGCACGGAGCCCATGCTAGCTCACACGCACCTTTGTGCAGGAAATGAGACAGGTGACGTTCCCTCTGCCTCTTCCTTTCGTTGGCTCCTTCCCATCACTGCCTTTCCTCCCAAGCACATGTCTGGATCTCAGAGACCGAGGCAGGAGGACTCGTGGCAGCTTGTCCTTGGTCCTGCCAGCATTCTCCTTTTTCATTTGCTGTCTCTTTCTTGCCCTCACTCTGAGCCTCCTTCCTCTCTGCATCTTCACCATCCCTGAGGATATAAAAACTGAGCCTGTAATCCCAGCACTCCAGGAGGCTGAGGTAGGAGGATTGTAAATTCAATTACAGCTGGGCAACTTAGTGATTTAGCAAGACTGTCTCAAAATAAAAAAAGGCTGAGGACGTAGCTCAATTCAAAAGCCCTGGGTTTGATCCCTATTACTGGGGGTGGTGGGGGACATCGAGTGTGGCATATCGTAATCCTATGAGTGTTTGTTCATAAAGCATCATTCTTTTCTGCTTCAACATATTTTTAAATAAAACATGATAAATGACTTCCTTTCTAACCCCAGGCTTCATTTTGCTGACTCTTGAGAAAGCAATCAGGGTTTGATTGCTTTGCTGATAGGAGACACTAAGAGCACATTGTGCTTGCTATTGGGATGACCCCTCCCCCGGAGGTTGTATTAAAAAGTCTCCATTTAAGGGGAAATGTTGGCCTTTCTTTTGTATAGGACCCACCATAGAGCAGGGACCCTTGATGTGCCCCTACAGTATGTGGCCTAAGGAAAGGTAGCATAGACTACATGGAAATGTGGAGACTTCCCACACAAAAGGATGGATCCCTCCTGCAGAACAACTGACGGTCAACCTGGAGAGCATCCCCTGGAAGCAAAGAGGATGTGATGTGGAATAAAGTGAATTCTGAGAGCTCAAATTTCCTTGCAAGTTTGAAGATCTTTTGCATTTTAGGTGCTAAGGAGAATTCTAGCAAAACAAATTTTGACATTGAACGGACATTTTCCCTGCTGACCTGAGGAGGCTGAGAGGGCCTCCAGCTGGGTGCTTTCCTAAGAAAAGTGGTGAGTTTTCCATCCACATCCACGGTATAGAGGACAGAGGGACAAGAAGCCACAAGGCCCTGAAACATATGCGCTGTCAAGATACAGTCTCTGGCTGTTTCAGACCCAAATTGCCGTGGCAAGGTCTTTCAGGTGCCTATTCCCCACTCAAGGAGTTAGAAGCGCTTAAGGGGCAAATGGTCCATTTACACACAGCACCAAGTGCTCGGGCACCAGGCTGGCTATCACAGTTTTAAAATTCTGTATTTGTTTCTACCGGCATTAAAAAATGTTTAACATGCTCTAATCTTCATTCTAATATAGAGAAAGTTGATAGGTATATTCAGAGGAGGCAAACTCAAGTAGTACTATCCAGTGTGAGCATTTAGTTTGTGTGTATGTGAGTATAAAATGTATATGCCTACACACAAAAAAATAAGCTTTAGAAAAAACAATCACGTCAACTTATAACAGACATGCTGATAATAAAAATCATGCCACTTACTGAGTATTTATCCCATCCCTTTTCCATGCATTCTGCAGAGGGCTTGGCCTGTATCGTTTCATTTCATCCTGACATCCTTGTGAACCATTCTCATTGTCAGGAGAACTCTGAAGTTCAGAAAGCTTCGAGACAGGCTGAAGCTCATGCAGTTAAGCTGGGATTTGATGGCAGCTTTTCCAGGCTTCTGGGCTCAGGACTCCACCCTTACTCTGGTGCTTCTCTGATCAGAAATGTCCCCTGAACTTGCCAACAAGTAGAACTGGCCACACCACCGCCTCTGCTTCCTTTGGTGTCTAAAACCTGGAAGTGAAGTGATGCCATCAAGATCCAGATATCTGTTTTACCTGTGTCAAATTTGAAAACTTGAATTCTCTCTCTCTTTCTCTCTCTCTCTCTCTCTCTCTCTCTCTCTCTGTCTCTCAACAAGCCCAGGCCCACTTGAAACCAAGTGAAAGTAATGCTGTATTTATTTAAGCAAAGTGAGATAGGGCTAAAAGATTTTGTGCCTACTTCTGACCGAGAAACACTTTTGTTAAAATTACTTAGATATATATTCTTCTATTCATAGGTTTAATGAGATATTGTAGACCTAACCTAAGTGTTATTTAAAGTTGTTAACTGGTTTTCATGTATTGAGTGTGTGTATGTATTTTCCTGCCTGTCTATCCCAGGTACATTGTGCCCTCAGCAGTAAGGTAGCAGACATATGAAGTATAATTCTTTTTTTTTTTTTTTGGTACCAGGGATTGAACTCGGGTCCTTGCGCTTGCACAGCAGGCAACGAAACCACTGAGCTAAATGCCTGGCCTGAAGTATAATTCTTATATTATTCCTTTCCTCAACTGTACCCAGTCAGTACTCATTAAAGCTACTCACACACACACACGCACGCACACACACACACACACAGACACACACACCTCCTATTCTAGCACCTACTAGCCATATGTTGCTACTTAGATTCACCCCTAAATTTGTTAAAATTAAATAAAATCTGATTTTGACTCTTCGTTTCTAGTGCCCAATGGGCCAGTGGCATCTGTATTTTATACAGCATAGATATAGGTCACTTCCATCATTGCAGAAAATTTTGTGGACATCATTATTGTAGAAGTGGAGCAATGGCTAAGAACCATTGGAAAGGACAGAAGGCTCTGATGATATTTTGTAAATTTCAATCTCATTTTTCTCAGTCCTATTTTTTCTTCCCTACTGGTTTTCATAGGAGAAGGAGACACTCAAAAGAAGAAGAAAGCTGGAAAAAGCAACAAAGCAGTTGGTTAAGCAAGAAGAGTTGAAAAGACTTCATAAAGCTCAGGTCAGAAAACAATCCTGGAATGAGTGAGTGGGCTTGGGGTCTGGGGTACTGGGAATCGGGATGGGAAAGTCCTTCAGGCATCTGTACTGGAATGGGTAAAGGTAGGAGAAAAGCCATCTCTCTTCTCCAAGGGACCAGCTTTGTGGCCATCCTGAAGACCCTGGCACCATCCCTACTGGGGCTCTAGGGTTATCAAGCACAGGTACTGAGCTGGCCCATGCCCAGCCACCTTTGCATGTGCAGTCAGGGTCCCACAAAGTGAGGCTAAAAGAAGAGCCAACTCATGGCCTTGGGGACCTTGCAAGGCCTCACTGACTTAGAGTGATGACCTGCATTGTGTCCTCTGTGAGGACACAAATCTCCCACCAACGTCTGGACTATATCTTTGTTGAGCTGACAGCTATTAGGGGCCATCTCCATTGTGGGATTAGTTGAAGACATAAGTATCCAGTATTCCAGTGTAGATTTCCTGACTTGGTAGTTTACTCCAAACATTTCTGCCCAGGGAGATCTTCCCAGCTCTATCAGTGTCAGGAAAAACAAAGCAGAAAGTCTAGACATTCTCCATCTGCCTGAGGATCCCAAGCCTAGTCTTGAAGAACAGTTGGATTTCAGGACAACAGGACTTAGGATGACCACTCAATCCATATGCCCTTTCATCACTTTCTCCAGTTATCCCATTTATCTGGCCATGTAATCCTGTGTGTCAGTCACCTGCCTAGTACTGTTATAGAATACCTGAGGCAATCAACTTAAACAGATGAAAGGTTTATTTGGGTTGACAGTGTCAAACATTCTAGTTCATGATCACTCGGTCTGCTGCTGTGGGCCTGCAGTGAGGCAGCACATCATGGCAGGGAGCTCAAATAGGGTGACTTGCTCACCTTCTGGTGGCCAGAAAGCAAAGAGGGATAAAAAGGAGAGGCTGGGGTCCCAGTGCAGCATCTCCTCCAAGGGCACAGCCCCAGGGACCTAATTTCTACTGGGGCACATCTCCTTAAGGTTCCTCCAAAGACCACCATGGGCTGGAGCCCAAGCCTTTGACACTGGGCCTTTGGGGGACTCGAGGGCCACCTGCACCCCATGGACAGGGACAATGCCCACGAGCTCATCTCTGTCTCAACCTCTAAAGCAGGTTGGAGCGTTTCAACATTTCCTTCTAAGAGCAAAGCAAGTCTTTATGCTACCCATTGGCACACTTGGCAGTTTTGCACTGCAGGCTAATAGTGGGAATAAGAGGAGCATTACAATGACCTCTTGAGTCCTTTTTCATCTTTTAGTTCCTAAAGAATGACCGCTGGGCCAGTCTGCTTAGGTGGCCATAGAAAAATCCAAAGATGGAGTGGCTTATGTGGCAAACATCTATTTCTTCACAGTTTTGGAGGCTAAAAGTCCAAGATCAAGGTGCTGTCAGATTTGGTGTCTGGTGAGGGCCTCCATCCTGGCTTGTGGACAGGTGCCTTCCCTCTGTGTCCTCACGTGGTATTTGTGAGATGAAGGGCAACTGCTAGTGTTTCTTCCTCTTCTTATAAGGGCACAGGTTTCATCAGATCAGGGCTCCACCCTTGTGGCCTCTCTTAACCCTCATTACTTCCTCATATGCCCTGTCTCCAAACATAGTCACATTGGGAATTAGGGCCTCGGTGTATGAATTTGGGGGCAATGCTGTTGAGTCCATAACAACCAAGTAGCTATAACTGCATAATAATCAGTAATAAAGTCATTGAAATGTTTTCCTTCTTTAGCAATTCTATTCCATACCAGCAAGAGATGGATTTATAAAGATATAATAAGAAAGACCCAAAGAGGGCATGAAATGATTAGTAGTTATAATAGAATCCCTCTGTATTCACAGGGGCTTATATGCTCAGAGCTGGGAAAACAGGAGCCAGGTGACTGCAAGGGCCCCACCCTGAACAGATCTCTTCACAGGTGCAGAGGTACCTCAGCTCCTGGACCCAGGACTCGAGGGGAGATTTAGGAGGACGTGAGGTTGAAGAGGAAGGGGAGGGAGAGAGTCAAAGCACAGTAGAGGAGGGACACAGGTGCTCCCCCTGCCTTTAAGATATCTGTTCTGCCAGGTGCAAACCCTGTTCTGCCAAGGGATGTGCATTTTTGGCAGCATGGTATGAGAAAGCAGAGAACAAAACTTATATAGGAAAGGCTTTCCTGACTGTCTTCTCTCATAGATCCACAAAGGATTAGGTAACAGGAGAAATAAATACATAAATGCAAACCTAGTTGTTACCCCAAACCTTCCTAGGTGCTCATGACAAATCTAAGCAGAGAATGAGGCTTATTCCTTAATGGGTTAAATATCTTCTGTCTTGTTTTTACACCTTGTTGGTAACAAAGCCACAGCGTTCATCCACAGTGATAGCATTCTGGCATAAGGCTGTATTGCAAGGAAGGGCAAGTGCCACTTATAGCTAGGGACAAGCCCTGGACAACCCCAGAATGAACACCAAGCCCCAAGAGCCAGCTCAGGCCTTCTGTCCAGACCACCCTCTCAGAGGTACAGTCTTGTTGTTCCTGGGAAATAGAATGTGAGCAGATACTCTATTTGTCCCCACCCCACCCCTGCTCTACGTGGTGGCCGCAGCCCTATCATTGTGCTATGACCATAGTCAGAGTCTGTGGGCTCTGAGGAGCCCCAGAACCACTAGGGCCACCCAGGGCCTGTCTTAAAGGACTCTGGTGTGATTGGCTGTGTCACAGGGAAGTGTTTTAATGTCTACTTGGGGGCAGATGGAACTTACACACAGCCTCCATGCTTTATGCTTCTTACTAAAGAGGGAGGCATCCAGATCTGGCTGTTTGGGTGTTCAGAGGTCCTTGCCCAGTTGATCAGGCCAGAAATACCACTCTCTTTCTCCTGGAGAATCAGTGACAGCATCACCCTCCTTGTGTGACTCTGTGTGTCCAAGGTCCCCTGTGACATGTGATCCTGGCATTGCAGGCCATCCAGAGGCAGCTGGAGGAGGTGGAGGAGCGGCAGAGGGCATCAGAGATCCAGGGTGTGAGGCTGGAGAAGGCCTTGAGAGGAGAAGCAGGTACAGTGTCCATCCTGGCAGCTCTGGACAGCAGGTTTGGGTCTGTGTCTGCAGTCTGCTAATTGTGCTGGTCTTACCATGGCCCAACACAAGGAAAACTGGTCACCCACGGGGGATGTGTCAGCAGGGACAGGCTGTGCCAAGTCCACATTGCTCCACACATTAAAAGTCAAACTGGTGTTGCCATTTGAGATTCTTCTGGCCCTTGATTAGTCTGTGGGCCTTGAAACTGGGCTCTGGTCTACCCAGCTCTGCTGAATAGAATGAATGTTCTTTGCAGTGTAGGGGTTAGGGCAAATTCAGGAGAAATCATTGGGTATTCGGGGAATGCTGGTAATTCAAAGCCCAGAGTTCAAGTCCTGGTCTCTCCTTTCCCTTTCCAAACCTTGGGCCAGTCACTTTATAAACTTTCATCTTCTCATCTGAAATGGGTGCAGTTGTGGTTTCCTACATCACAGGTAAGAAATGAAGATTAAAAAAGAAATGGCATATGATGCTTAATTTAATTAGGACTTGGCCCAAGGTAAAGCAGCAGATGGTAGCCATCCCACTGAGGGCTTCAGATTCTTCTGTTCAAACACAGTGATCCTCAGGGGATGACCTTCCATGTGCTGGATGTCCAGACACTGGGTCTGAAATAGTTTGTATGGTTCAATTTCTGCCTTGAGAAGTTTATAGTTCACTGAGGGATTCAGACACGGAAACAGACAAGTCTCAATAAAGTGGGACAGGCACTGTGACAGAACAGCAAGAGGGAGCAATGAAAACAGACCCAGGACCTCAGGCCCAGCTTCCTGAGAGGGGTCATGGGAGATGGGCATCAGAGGGGAGCAGGGGTCAGCCAGAGAGGGGAGCAGACTGTTCTGACAGAGGGAGCAGCACCTGCCATGGCCAGGTTTAACTACTTTAACAAAAGAGGGGCCAGCCAGGGGTTTCAGGTAAGGGGTGACTTAAAGACATCTATGTTTTCTGGGTACTCTCCCAGCAGCCATGTGGCTGAGGTACCAGAGGGGCACTCAGCGCGTGCTGAGGGGTTGTCTCTTTAATTCTGTGCCATGATGCCTTTGGTCTTCTGTATTGGGGATACTAACTGTGAACAACTTCGTGTCTCTGTGAGCGATGATGTGAACAACATGTGCCCTGGGAAACACTCTAGGGAAAGGGGAGCATCTCAATTCTGTTCGAAGTGCAATGACTTGAGAATGGTGATAATAGCGAAGGCAGATCCAGACTTTCCGGGGCCTGAAGCTCACACAGACGTGCGGAGGTATGAGGGGCGCTTCCAGAGCTTCCCAAGGGGCCCCCAAAGACAGGGTCTGGAGATTTCAGCCCAGTAGCTGCATGGTTCTGTTGTCAGTAGCTAGCAGGGAAATGTTGGGGGCAGACTTTACCTCTGTGTGCCTCAGTTTCTTGCTTGTGATGCTGGAGTGATAGTCATTCTTGTCTCTTGCATTTGTGGTGAAGATTAGTAAAAACACTTAGGCGAAACCTCAGCTCGGCGCCCAGCCCAGGGTGAATGATTAACCAGTATTTGTTCCTCTTCTTACTAAATTACACTCTGGATTTCCTTGTAAAGAGAACCCACATTTGTCCATCAGAATTAGGCTTCTTTGCAAAATCAATGAGTGTTTCTTGCTGCCTGAACTGAGTCTTGGCCTGTCTCCATAGCTGCTGTTGGGACTTTTTGGTGGGATGAACTACCCTTGTTTGGTGTTTGGTAATATTCCCCATCAAGGAGGCTCTGCTGCTTGTCTTTAGGAATCTCCAGGGAGCCTCAGGAATGAAAAGGACATACTGTACCAGGGAATCTAGAGCACGTTCACTTGGCTGTTAACAACACATGCTGACATGAGGCATGGTAGGAAAAGTGGAGGCACCAAAGAGCCCTGTGTTCAAATTCTGTTCTTTCTCCTTTAGGTTGGTAGTCCTGGAAAAGTCATCTAACCCCTCTGACCCCAAAAGTCTTATCTGAAAGATGGAGATAATAATCCCCACATTACATATGAGGCCATTTTGAGAATTCAGGTGTCGGGGTGCTAAATACCAAGTGGCTACTACATTGTAGGCAGCCAAAGAATGCTACCTAATATTATCTTACACAATATCATTAAGGATCCACATATATATGCTTTTAAAGAATTGTCTCTCTAATCATTTACTGCTTGAAATTTAAATTATAGGTACCAGATTTGAAAATCTTCCTCATTTCCAAATGTCAGAAAGAGAGAAAGAAAGAAAGAAAAATGAAAAGAAAGCTATTTTAAGTGATACCTAAAGAAATCTAGCCAGCTGGCAGGGTGCTCAAAGGTGTGCCTAAGTAGCCAGAAGATGGATTCTGTTCATTCCCTTTCTATCACTGGTAATTTAATTCCCCGGTTAAGTTTATGGGCCTTTTCTCCTTGAATGTCCTCATGGGGGTGACAGATGCAGATCAACAAGGGGCTAGAGACAAATAGAGTCGAGTCAAGGAGAGCGGTCCCAAAGGAAACCAAACGGAAGCTATGCAAGCCAGGCCATCAAAATTAATACACTCTAACCCGTAATAACATTTGCACAATAATAATATTCCTTTGTGTTCAGTATTCTATCTAGTCCCTTTAAGAGATTGGCCTGTTGCTTAATGAACGACCAATGCTTATTAGGTTAAGTTGTATTTGAGCTGGCCTGTGCTGCTCCAGTTCAAGTGATTTAATGGGAATTATTTAATAGGTATTATTAGGATAATTAGAAAATGATCACAGTCAGGCAATAATATTGAGCTATAAAGGTTGTGAATAACCAAATTTAGAGACAGGCCTGAAAACAGGAGTAGCCTGCGTCAGTTAGGCAAGGCTCCTCTGATAATTATGTGAGCCAGCTGAAAGAGTCCTTCGTTCCCCGGGAGTTATTCATTAGGCAGGCATTGAATTAGGGGACGGGGCGGGTGGGGGCGCAGATTGAGGGCCCTGATGGATGATGAGCAAAAAGAGGCTTTGTTAAGCTCCTAATTGTCGTGACAATTCCTGCTTTCTTTTTTTCCAGCAGTCAGAGAAATACGCGCCCCTGCTCCCTGGGATGGGTTTCCCCCCATTTTGTTCAAGGAAAGAGAAACAAAGAATAACAGAAATCTAACCATCTACCCCAGATGATAAACAATTATGTTTCACAGGGTGTGTGTGTTTGTGTTAGGTGTTTTCAACAAAGGCTCTGGGGTCGCCTGCAGTCCCAGCTGCCCAGGTGAAGACCACATGTACACTGGCCTGATTCCCCTGTGTCCTACTCCTTTCCTCGAGGAGGCCAAGCCTGGCTTTGCTGGCGCTAAGCCTCTTCTTCACCGAGGCACTTGCACTACCTGTGGTTTGTTGTTTGTCAAGGTGGTGGTCAGTGTTACAGACTGGGGCCAGGGACTTCCCTAGGCTAGCACAAGGCCACCATCCAAACTTAGGTGGCCTGGATGCCGAACCTGGGCTTTCTCGTTCTCTGGAGATGAGTGAAATCTGATGAAAACTGACAGCAGCTTCAAAGGAGAAAGGAAGTATCCCCAAGGAAAGTGAAGTATTCTCCCCACAGAGCTTCCCTCCCTTTATCAACTGGTTGTCTGCATTCAGCTTGTTGCCTTTTTTTGAAGCTGATTTCTCCTTCTCAGAGATTGAGGGATTTGCAAAGATAGCGCAGGCTGAGCGAGGCTGCCAGCAGATGGCAGCAGGGACTCACATTGGAATGAGAAATTTCAAGGAAAACCTAGCCAGGAAGAGGGAAGTAGTTTGGCCCACTCTGGGGGTTTTCATCTTGACTGCTGCTGAGGAACAGAAGGAATTGTATTTCCTCGATAATGTGACAGCGAGGAGTCCTGGAAAGAACACAGGTATTAGAGTCCGACATATCTGAGCTTGAATTAATGTCACCAATATACAATTACCTCTCTGCCAAATGTTCTCATCCATTAAATGGAACCAGTAATGCCCACCTCATAGGGATGATGTGAAGAAAAAAAATTAAATGATATAATATTAGTAAAGCCCTTGGACAAGGGCTGGCATATAATTGATGTTCAAACAAATGTAATTCCTGCACTTTCCTTCTATAGCCCTGTCATAAAACACAACTTCTCTAATTGTATTTATTTGTTCGTTAATTCACATTCACTTATAACTGTGTTCCCTAAAAGAGAATTAACCTGGTTTCTATAAATACACATCAAAACATGGAGTTCACACACTTGGTCCATATAAGAATCCCAGTGAAGACTCGGATGTTATGCTGCAACAAAAACAAAAAACAGCAACAGTTCAGTACAAGCAGTTTAAAATGAGAGCAAAACACCATGATTCTGAGATGTGTCTCTCTGACATTCTGCCAGAATGTGGGAATGGGTTTGGGGGCAAGAATGTTCTTTAGGTAACCTTCCATAACTATTTATTCTCCAAGTGTACTAAAAGGCAGCAAGTTCAAGGTTACACATGCCTGCCTGTCCTTGTGCTTGTTGGTCACTGTGCTTCCCGTGATCCAGATCAGGGGAAGGGTTGAGGTCCCTTGGTGATTCTCAATGAGTCTGATTGAATTGGGGTGGCCATAAAAATGAAACCAAAGATATTTTATCACCTAATAAAATATTATCTAATAAAACTGGATGTTGTCAGGAAAGAATTCTAATCTTATAGAGAATGGCCAGGAGTAACAGGGCTCCAAAGCTCATGGAGCAAGCAGGGAGTGCTAGGCATAAACAATGGAATTTGGTGCATCGGGGAAGTGAGTTTGTTACTCCCCAGCAAACGGCAGGAGGATCAGCCAGGTGGCACAGGTGGCCTGCCCCTGAGTCCTAGGGTGTGGTGTGATAGGCCCTGATGGTACCAGTACATATCAAGTGTTGTGCTGCAGCTAAGGGGCTCAGGGCCAAGAACTCAGCCATTTTTACAGCAAGTGGTACATGGATCTGTCTCCTTTTCCTAGGAGGCAAGTGGTTGTACTGAGCCTCACTTGTGGTACCCTGACCTACTTCTCAGAATGATCTATCTGATTAG